CGTGTAACCGCGGACGTACTGTCCGGAGACCAACTCGTGCAGAAGAAGAAAAATTCGCCCGCGGGCGCTCTCAAAACCAGCTAGGCGGGGTGTTTTTTGTTTCATAGACACAGGGCTCATTGAGCTGAGAATGTTCAAGTATGTCCTTAACAACGTAACGGTGCCTCAGACACGCGAGCCTCAAAGTGGCGACATTTAAATGTGGATTGTGGGTATTCACAATTTTGATGGGTAAGAGTGTGACGGGATTATATGTACCCTTGTATGAAAGGGGCGGGTCACACAAGCTGGTGTTACCGTACTTAGGTGTAGATTACACAAGTTGGTATAAGTACACAATGGTGTGGCTACAGCGTAACAAGAAGCCATTACGTGGCAGGATTACCAGTGGTAATGCATATTAATTAGGTTTTGCTATATTGCTATATTAATCAGAAACCCTGAGGTTTTAGATGCTGGCGGCCCTGCCGCAACTGAAACAATCAAATACGGTTTCAATTTCGAACGAAAGAGCGTCTTTACCTTGTTTAGGGTTTTTAAGTACTCAGGATGTAGCGGATTGCGATCCGCTACACTCGTACTGGTTCTTGTAAAGAGCGTAAGGTCGGTAACCTTTTCCTCTTAGCAAAGAGCTACGGCAGCCCTCACTGCTGTAGTTCAAAACGGGGTCCAAAGACGAGCATTAGGCGGAACCATCAGTCAGAACGTCTAGTCTCGAGCTCTGGTCTGGAACAAGGCTCCAAAGGCTTTTGCGACGATATTCAAGCGTCGAGCCACGCTGCTGTAATGCCTCAATTTGCCCGCGATGAGCTCTCTTTCCGTTCCAGGGTCGCTTAATCGTTTGTTACGCTCACCCCTACCTCCGCTATCAAACTTTCGTGGAGAGCGTCGTTGGGTGGCTGAGACGATTGTGTATCACGAGAATCGATCGACTCGTCTTTGTGGAAGCAGATAAACTATCAGCGCAACAGAGCTCGGTGGCGCGACTATCCATTGGATTCGGCTACGCAGGAACCTCGTCAGGCCCTAGAGTATGAGGTCTTCGACGTAATTCGCAGCTACAATAATCGCTTGTATTGTTGTTAGAGTCTATGGTCGAGAGCCACGATGCGCAAAACCAACACGCGGGTACCAGAGGCACATGAAAAGGTAGTGGGTTAAAGTGTAAGTAAGGGAGCTCTGTTAGCCCGCCCACAATGCTGTATCCATCTTCAAAATGACTAAGTCGCGACGCCGCATAATTGAAACGGTTGCATTCATAGCCAGAAAGAGGTTGAGCTACATTATTGGTATTTCGAAGAAAATGGTGATACATCCTGAGTCGCTTCTCGGCATGAGCTACAATATTCTTTTCTACTGCTTGAATTTGGCGAGACCAAAACGCGATCACAAGTTCATGCGCATTGACATCGGCTCAGACTAAAACGTTAAATAATGCAAAGGCTCAAGCATTACAGACGAAGTGGAGTGGCCGATCTGGTTTCGAGAGAGCAAAATTTGTGCATACGTGAAGGCCACCGAAACGCAACACCGTTTATCAACCTTTTCAAAGATATTGGAGGCGCCATGTCATGTCGGCATCGTTTGCATCGTACTTGTGCATTTAGTTGGCCAGGCCAAAACTCTTTTCTCAAGGTTCCTTGAGACAGAGGCACTAATCAATATACAATTGTCTTTAATTTTGCGGGATCTTGTCGTGAGCCTTGCTTTCAAATGAAACTAATTGAATATCATCTAGTGTACTTCTATTTTTGTATTGGTGAGATACTTGTTGATGCGCATACACAAGAGCACCTTTCGCAACATTAAATTTGGTTTACTAAATTTGACCTCCGAGATAGCACGGCAATGGATGGATCCATAGTCACATTTTGTTTTTGCATCGGCGCGATGTGACCTATAAAGTCGTGTTACCAGATGATAAAAGTCGCTTAAGCGCTAATCAGTACGTGTGGTCTAATTTGTCACCCCCTGAGCATCCCACTCGGAGAACTTACTGCAAAGAGAAGAAAATTATGCGTTCAATGAGTAGTAAACAACCTTCATTAACAAAGTTTATGGCACTGAACACCCGCTGTTTGGCTTTCTGACACAAAGAGATGACATTGATGATGATGTTTACTCTCTCTCACCGACCGCACTTGGTGTTTTACACAAAAAGCGTCCTTGTCAAGAACCGTCGATTGGTGAAGCACTTATTGTGTTCGGGAGGCAAGTCAATCTCATGATGCACTGCCTTATCAGAAAGCAACGCGCGTTATGAGTCATGTTGTGGTGTTTCATTAACGTTCCGTCGGATCCTTGTAATTATCTGTCCCACCCCTCACAAGCTCAGTAAACTGCGAGCAATCTCAATGACCGGCCCATAAACATTCAATAGGTGTTATTTTCTTCGGCCCAATGAGGGATGAGAGCTACTGCCAAGTGGAATGTGAATTTCGTACAACTATACTGTATTGTAATCAATACAGTTGTTATCAAAGGGTAACACAATCTGATCTTTTTCAGTTTTGGTAAATTTTGCACTTGTTTGAAGACCCTCGATGGCGATAGTAGCTGTTCCTCGCCTTCAAACGAGGATCTGCCACCATCGCGGCGGTAAAAAAGTGCAGCTTCTAAACGTTGCCATCTCTCTTGATGGATGTTCAAGAAATCGGAGCGCATCGATACATCCGGGTAAGTAGAATGAGTACCTGTTGCATGTACCACTTCGAGTCTTCTAGTGTCGGACATGCCTCTCTCGCAAAGGTATTGCACGATGTCCACTCTTTCTCGTGACATCATCATCTGGAAACCGCAAGCGCAATGTGTTCTTTCTCTCTGGATAATCGCTTAGTTGATTGCCATCCCTACTTTCCTATTCGAACTGGGGAAATTATCCCCCGTCCCTGCTCTCAAAGGGCTGGAGACTCAACAACAGCAGCTTCGCAACGGAAATCAACTGTAATCTCACGCGCCCCAATCAAAGCATCCTAGAGCCGTTCAACCGCGCGTTCCCAAAGCTGTTGAAGACGTCCACCGGATCAATTAACTCTTTTGATCCTTGAGCTGCCAGACCTTTGATCCTTTTGTTCTTCACAATGAGGTAGCGATACTAAGCTTGTCCAGCTGTCTCGGTGGTAAGTCACCAAACAGCTCGTGTTTCATCCTCACAATGATACAGATTTTCAAGATCGGTCGTCAGATTGACAACACAACAGGTTTGCCGTGCACCTTGCACAGTAGAAGCTTCGACCCAAATACTTCGCGTATACAGTGCACACAGGTCGGATTCGTACGTTCTACCTAGAAGCAGAGGTGCGGGCCTATAAAGCAATCAGTTGCCGAGATGTCTCAGCTATTTTAAGATTGACATATCTTATGAGCGATTTTTATCAGGCTTTCACGCTTTACTAAATCGAATGATACATTTTCTCTATGAATGTGCAGCCAACAGTTTACATGTGTACATGTGCCACGGAATCTCCTTTATGGAGTCCGATCGACAACATTGGTACCAATAGCTTGATGCATCAGAATTTTCATGAATTCACAATAATTTCGTACGATCGTAATTCTACAATTGCGCAGAAGTGTAAGGATACATACCCAATAGTACACTGCGTACCCGTTAATTTAGTGATTTCACGATCACGTTTACTGATAAAAACTTTCAGCCAGATGAGACGTCAGTGCAGATCCAAGTGAGAACATAATCTATACTGCACTACTGCACTCAAGGTGCAAGGTTGGCGCCATGGATCGATTGTTGAAGTGTGATGTGCTACGACTTGTGAGGGTTTGTTTCATGCTTTGTATATTGATACTTGTGATTTGCAATACTGAGCCAAAGCCGCAGATTGGCTTTGTCGTTTCTAGTTGATTGGGTGCCATCGTGGTAAAGTTAATCGCAACTGACCACTGTGGGGTTCAACAAGCCTTGTCTTCCCCAAGTAACGTCCTCCATCATATAATTACCTATTATATTGCATATGATATAGTGTAATGGATATTTACAGTACGACGACGGAGCGATGGGCTTACATCCACAACTCGTAACTTTGCGAATATAACTCACAATTTGTTTCACCACTTTGATAACAGCACAATTCAATTTCAACAGCGCATAAATTTATTTTTCGATTATCAGATCTACTTGATGTCAACCGAAAACGCGACATAAATGTCTTTTTCGTACGATGTGGTGGGTGGTCGATTGATATTTAGATTAATTAATTGACTATAGAAAGAGCAAGTTTAATCTCGTGAACCGTCAGCACATGTTAAAGAAGAGTTTGATTTGCAGCTGACACAACCTGTTCGTAAGATTGCAATACCTAAACATTTAAAACGTATAAAACCCTATACTAACGCGCCTATGTGCTTTGTGTGGTAGGTTTTTCTGTGAAATACGGAAAAATAAATCTGTTGATTTGATAAGAACTTTTAGTACTAATTTTCCGGCTCGAACCATCAGGTGCAGGTTTGTCAAATTGCAAAACTAATGTATCCAACAACATGGGATCAAATCTGCGTTTTCGGCCTGACCATGTTTGCATCACGTCCATTGGTCAAAAGGGGCGACTTCCTCGAAAGATGCTTTCTACAAATATCAAGATAATTGAGGATTCTCTTGATTTCACTAGATCTGCTCAAACGTCCCCTCGTTTGTTTCCAA